CCTTTCCTTGCCCGGGTCCCCGCGCCCGGCGCAGTCCTCCCCGGGCGGGCGCCTCCGCACCTCGGCGCAGGCGGCACGGCCCTTGGGCCGGGATGGATCGACCGGGAAGAGGAAGACAAGCCGGGGCATTGAGCCCCTGCGCACGGTACCGCGCGTAGTGGGAGCTTGCGCGCAGGAGGCTCTCGGTACGTTTTCGGAGGCATTGCTTTTCGGTTGGAGTCAGGGCACCTAAAGGGTAGAAGGGGTCGTCTGGGGCTGGTTGGAGGGCATTCGTCATCGGGGGTCTTGGTGGGTCGGGACTGGGTGGGGGAGGTCGTCGGGCACCCCACTGCAAGAGAAGAGGGTACCAGCCGGTTCACCTGGGGCTCCGGAGCTCCGACCTGAGGGTCCTCAAGGTCGACGGTAAAAAGGTCTACCGCGAGATGAAAGAAGGAGCCGGGGAGCGTGGATGCGGGAAAAGACTGGAGCATCTCCCCGGGGTTAACCTGGGGTGGTTAGTACAGGATGCGGAGGTGGCCGCGGAGAAGACCCCGCTTCACATATCTTGGGCTCTTAATAAATGGCTCTTTGGTGCTGGGGTTTGGGCATCCGAGTGGCTGAAGCGGAGTGACTTTGTGGAGAGGGAGTTGCATTGACAGAAGGATGCTAAGAAACGGGCGTAAGTACATCTTGGTTTCCTTCTCAACTTTGAAGGCTTGGGAAGTCAGTCACGAGGTTTTGACATTTTGGCGTTCCAAGCAAAAGGCGGCTTGCTGCTGGACTTTGTCGGTGATCCTTTATTTTAAATTATATGTGTCTGTTTGACGGGTTTTTGGCAGTTAGCAGTTTCCCTGGACATTCCTAAAACTGCACCTTTAAAACGCTTGTAACAGCTTCTGCGTCTACACTGGAGCCTTGCTTCTTTCAAAGTTAACGTTAGGCTGGACCGTACAGTTGTGATTTTCTGACGTTTATGCTAGAAGAGTCATTAAGTCATACTTGCTTTTTACTGCTTCTTTACAGGACCGTGTAAAATTGAACTACATGTTCTATAGAAGTTTAAAATGGCTTTTCTTTAAGTATTGAAATAAGAAGGATGCTGGTATTAGAAAGCAGTGCTAAAATCGGAGTGTTCTCACAGTTGGGAATCTTGGTCAGATGCGTACTTTAATCTTAATGTATTGTCTCGTATTCATAGTCCGTTTTTAAGACAGGCTTAGAGACGGAAGCGAGACGCACAAGCGTGAGGCGATGGCTGTTGTCCAGAGTTCACCTTTGTGGCTGTCCTGCAGGGATGTTGCCTTTTTCATTCCCATTGAAAGGAGTGGAGCTGAGAATTGCATGGCTGCTCTTCAGTCTTTTTTTATAAGTCACATCTATATTACCCTTTTCATACATTTGTTGAGTCCTCTGTGGTTTTCAAAATGAAAACTCATTTGATTAGGGAGTACTTAAAATTTAGGGGGGAAAATTCTGGAGCATACCTTGCCAGGTGATTCAAACATTTCTGCAAAAGGGTGCTAATGTTTTTAATTGGCCTTCTAAGTGCTTGAATAATTACATATTTTTCTCCTTATTGTCCTTGAATTTTACTATTTGTCCTGAGGGAGAATGTACTGGCATACAAAACAGCAGCTTAAAATATTGAAACCTAACACCTTTTGACATTATAATGGCTTCTGCATCGTTCACCTTGAGAATCATCTATGGCAGACCAGTAGTGGGGAACGCTTTCCTTTTTCACCTTGTCTGGAGTGGGCTGTTTCCTACTGTTGTGGGCCTAAAGCAAACAATTCACTGGCTGTGAAGTAATGGTAATAACTTACACAAGATGAGAATGAGAGGCTTGGAGAGGAGAGGCCGATGAGTCATTTCTTCTAGAGCTGGAAGAGTAGAAGGTGGAGATGATTATGTTGTAGATTAGGAAACCAAGGCCGAGAGCGTTTGAACGGCGCCAGGATTGGTGGGCCTGACTCTGGAGTGGTCTTGGGTTATTTTCCCACTTTATCACATCCATATTGTTTATTTCTAAAGCCTTTTAGTGCCAACTGTAAATAATTTTGGCTTATTTGTGATATTGGTCTTTTGATAGAGAACTTTTGACTATTTTATACATGAAATGATGCAAAACTGCATAAGCTTTTATTAAAAGTTAAAAACAGTGCTGCATTATTAGTGAAAATGCTAATCATCTCCTCATTGCAAAGAGACAAAACTGTCATCTAGATTAAAATATTAAATGAGCAGCTTAGATTAAGCTAGCGTTCTGTTTTTGTGCTAAAATTAATTTAGACTTAGAATTCAAAAGGGTTTTTGTATTTTTAAGTGAACTGTGTGAAAATTATTTTCTAAGTGTGGGGCTTTTCTTATGTTAAAGTGGATTTTAATTCCTTTAAAAGGAAGTAGAATTACATAATTGTGAAAATACAGTTTATGCTATAGTTGTAACAGAGACAGGAGTTGTATTCCAGCCACTTACCATGAAGCGGCCCTGGTTGGGTGTGGTGCACTAGTAATCAATAATCAGAGCGTTGGGAGGTTGGGGCAGGGTAGGCACGAGGAAGGGCCAGCCAGGGCTACGGATGCACAGTTCGAGGCCAGCCAGAGCTACATGGTAAAATCCTAGCTGGGGGTGGGGGGAGGAAAAAGGAGTACCTACCTTATGACATATTGGTGAAGATTAACTGTGCCTAGCACATAGAAAGGGCACAATAAATATTACACATTATTTTCTGTGTTTCATTAGGTTTAATGAGGATGTATGCTCTTTTTTTCCCCCTTGCTGTTAGTACATTCTTCTAGGCTTAAAAAAAAAAAAATTCTAGATAAATACACAAATAATTATTTGCCTTAATGGACATTGAGTGGAAATGGCAAGCTTATGGTTTTTGTTCTGTCTTGGCTTACCTTGGACGTTAATTGGATCTGCATATCAAGTTAATGTGTACGTTTCTCTGAATGGTGGGGGACATTTAAAAAGTGCTATCCCAAAGTGTGCTCTTTTGGCACGTTTCCAGATGGCTCTTCTGACTGGCAGGGCACATAGAGAGTGGCTCTGAAAAGCTGTCCTTGTATGTGGGAGAAATGTATCTATCTGTAAAGAAAGCCTATTAGTGAAATGAAGTTCTAAGGCTTCCTTAAGACTTCTTTATCTGCCATGGCTGGATCTAGGGGAGAATGGATGATCCCCTCACCTCCTTCCAAATTACCACATGGTGTCACGTACTCGGAGGATGTCACATGGTCTTTTGAGGCTCTTATTTGAGATACTTTTATCTGTAGGAGACAGTCTTTGTTCTGAAGTGCATTTCATCCTCCCATAACCTATTATCTTCATCCCTTGTTTCTCAAGCCCCTGTCCTTTTATGTCATTCAAAATTATAAACTCGGAGCTGACTGGTAATCAAGAGTCCCAGGCAAGCCAAGCCAACACTCCACTAGTGAGTTAGTTACACATGCAGTTCTGGCCCTCTTTTGAGCCTCATCTTTTGTGTGGCCCCCACACATGCAAGTTATAAATTTGTATGTCATTCCTCTTGCTTATCTATTGCTATTTTTTTTTAATTAATTAGACTCCAATACCAAACATTGGGTCTGGGAAAGAAAATTCCCGTTCTCCAGTGTCTCCAAGAAACCCTCATTCCAGTTCATTATTCTGGAACAAAAAGGTGTTGATGCTGCTTTGCAGGTATTCTGAAGAAAATACTGAGTTCTAGAGCTTTCTAAGTGAGTTTAGATAAGGAAATCAAGTTTATAAGGTCCATTATTGATTGCAACTATTTTGTGCTAATGGCACCATGATAAAATCATTGAATTCTGTTGTCTGTAAGTTAATTCCTCATCAACATTTTCCTTATTTACTGTGCTTATGTGTGTGAGCATGTGCTTGCCGTGGCCGGCATGGGATCAGAGGACAATTGTAGGAGTCACTTCTCTCCTACTGTGTAGGTCCTGCGAAGCGAACCCCAGCCTCCAGGCTTCCGGTAACTGCTGAGCCATCTCTCTGGCCTTATCAACTGAATTGGTTTTAGAGCTTTACTCACCACACCGCTAGGTTTTAGTGATGTTTGTGTAATTCCAGCTTTAAGATGTAGAGTTCTTTTACTTTGCTGTGTCTCAGGCCCCACTACTATATGGCCATGTGGTTTAACATGTTCTAGATGGTGACATTTATTATCTATCATCAGCAGGCCCAGAATCACTGAAGTCACCTCAGAGTCACCTGGAACCATCAAATGTTTCTAGGGTTATAGTTGTCTTTCACTTTGATAGGATTTTAATGTTTGAAAATTGACCAACTTCTGATCTTTTGATTATTATAGACATATGATGTTATCACAGTCTAAAAGAACACTTGTTGGATTCATGACATCTTTTGGGAATCTGTAGAAACAAAACAGGTTTTCTTTGGGTCTATTACATATTCACATACACTGTCATTAAGGTATTGGAGAGAATATGTGTGTTAGCAAATATTAAAAATTGTGTGACATTGAGAATGGTCCATTATTCAGGGTACATGGGCTGAGT